AGTTTCTCAAAATTATAATTAATTTGTAAGATACTTTAATAATTCTACAATGTTCTAGAAAGTTCTACAAAACTCTCCAAAGTAGATATCTAATTACCAAATAATTAAATGGGTTGGAAGCTTAACTATTAAGATATTCAAATAATTCAAGAAAGTTCTATAAAATTCTACATAATAGAAATCTAGAATTGATTAGATACTTAACCATTAAGATATTTAAATAATTCTACAAAATTCTAGGATGTTCTATAAATTTCTACAAAAAAAGGGACACATAATCACCATGTGATTAAAATGAATTGAAAACTTAATCATTAAGATAACTAAATAACTCTACAAAATTCTAGAAAGTGGACATCTCATCACCAAATTATTAAATAAATTGGAAACTTAATCATTAAGATACTTAAATAATTCAAGGAAATTCTAGAAAGTCCTATAAATATCTACAAAATGGACACCTAATCACTATGTTATTAAAATATCTTAGGAAATATCAAGAAATATCTACAAATCTAGAAGATTGGAGAATGGAGGTAGAGACTAGTATAAATAGGAGAAACCACACACCAAAAAGCTCACCAACAACCCTTAACAACTAGACATAAACCAATGCCAAAGAAACACCCAAAAATACTCCATCTTTTCCACAACCAAGGAGGAAAACAAGGAGTAAACAACTAAAATTTCAAGAAAAAGGGAAGAAAGGAAGAAGATAAGAGGAAGAAAAAGAAGTATGAAAAGAAGAAATCAAGGATATTAGGAGAAAACTAGCAAGCTTGGAGAAATAGGTATGGGTTAGATGTTTAATTTTATTCATGTCTATATAGTTGTAGAATAAATATTAATTTTTACTTATAAGTTTTGATGCATGGAACCTTAGGTTAGTTGATATGGTTTTCTATTGTACTTTTTGATAAATTTGATGCTTTAAGGTTGAATCTTGAAGTGGTTGATTGTGTATGATTGAACGTTTCTATTGAAATTGTTTGAATTGTATTTGAAGAGTTTGATTGAGAATAATTTTTGAAGTGATAGATTAATAGTGATGCACATTGCATATTGCATATTGCATAATGTCATTTTTGAGTCAAAAGATTTTTGGGGGGAAAAGAAAAGAATTTCAAAAAAATAAATAAATATTTGAGAAATGAATTTTGTACCAAGGATATTTGATAGAAAAAGAACAAGTTTTGTAATTTTGAAATGATACTTTTTACGTGAATTCTTTTCTTTATGTTTACTATCCGAGACATTGGTGGCAAGAGATTGATTGAGAATTGTGATAGTGGGAACTGTAAGGACAATTGGCAGTACGAGATGGATAAAGAAAAGGATAAAGTGAGAGAGAGCTTGATATGGTTGTGAAAGTCTGACTGAGGTATTTGTTTTATACTACCAATGTCAAAAGATAGTAAATGGGGTTTGAGCAGAATGGGTAAGACAGGACCTCTGGTCTGGAGGATAGACCGTTGGTCTAGGGAGCGTTTGGGCATGGGCAATCCCATAGATGGCTAGTCTTTATTGATTCTGTGTCGTGGTAGCCTGCCGGGTGCACTAACACTCTGACTACTGTCTACTTGTTCGCGTTTAGTGCGCCATTGCCGAATCACTGGACAGAGTGATGTTAAGCTCTAGCTTCACTACACACTCAAAAGGGAAACCCTCCATGGAGTATTGAGTCAAAATAATTTTTAAAAGTATATTTTCAGTCAAAATCTGCATCTCATTCTCATAATCATGTTGCATTATTTGGACTATTATTAATGAAAAATCTTATCAATTTGTTATGTGTATTGATAATTGTATGAACTTATTATGCACTTGTCTGATTTGTTTATGTGAGATGTGAATGAAATTAAATGTCTAACCCCATAAATATTTTTAAACCCAGATATTAGAGATCTCATAATGCAGAAAAATTGGATGTGCAGTTAGAAGGTCGGATGCAAAAATCCAGAGCATAGGATGGGGGGTTTTATTTTACTAAGTTGTTATAAGATGGTTTGTAATATCTATTGACTTTTATTGAATAAAACTTTAATTGAATAAATTTAATTCATTTCTTTAAGTATCTTTTCTACATATTATTCATAATAATATAAATAATTAGTTATAATTAGCATATGTAATATGGAAAGGGGGTTACTCTTCCACCCAGCTTCTTGCTTTTAGTGATGCTGATTGGGCTACTTGTAAGGACTCGCGCAGATCAATCACTGGTTATTGCTTTTTTCTTGGTGACTCTTGATTTCTTGGAAATCAAAGAAACAAAAGACTGTGTCTCGTTCCTCATCTGAAGCTGAATATCGTGCACTTGCTTCCACGACATGTGAATTGCAGTGGCTCACTTACTCAAAAATTTACATGTTTGTTGTTCTAAACAAACTATCCTTTATTGTGATAATCAAAGCGCTCTCCACATTGGAGTTAATCCTGTTTTTCATGAACGCACCAAACACTTGGAAATTAATTGCCATATTGTCCGAGAAAAAACCCAAGCTAGTTTGATGCGTCTTCTTCCGGTCTCCTCCTCCAATCAATTGATCACTAACATTTTTACTAAAGCTCTTCCACCAAGATTGTTTGCTTTTAATTTATGCAAGCTGGAGTTACTTGACATCTTTGCGCCTCCAGCTTGTGGGGGCTAACAGAGAAAACAGAGAAAGAGGAACCAAATAAATTAATCCAATAGCATTTCAGCTTTTTAGTTTGCTCTAGAATATAATGAGTTGTCCATTGTCCTTTTCCATTCTTATCCAGAGGATGTAAATATATATATTGTAATCCTTTGCATCATGAATACATAGAATTTTTCACCTAGGCATTGTCCTTTCTTTATGCATTGTTCTTTCTTTATATATACAAAGAATAAAATATAAATATCTAAAATAATCATAATAAATTTAATATATAAAATTATGAGTTCAATATATAAAGTAATTAGGAGTACAAAATATAATATTTTTAAATATATATTCATAATTTAATTAAAGTGATTAGTGAATTTGCCCCACACTTACAATAGTATAAAATGTAAGTTCGTCACTTATTTACATAGTTGTTACGTGAACAAAACACAACTGAACGTTAACTCTTTCTATAGCGTTTTTGTTTTAGCTCCCATGCCATGGTCACATATTCCAAAATAGAATAATGTTGATTAGTACTGTGAAACTTTCGTGAAATGATCACGAACGTGTTATAATGTGACTGTTTTAAAATCAAAAAATTTTCTTTGCTTTAAATTTTATTTCTCTCTAACTCGAGAACAATAATCCATGTGTATTTGTCAAATTTCAGAAAGAAAGAAAAAATTCATACTACAAGCACTATTACTATGAGATTTTTTTTCTTTCTATCTTATCTTTGTTTTAAATAATTTCAATTATTAACTTTATATATATTAAAACCTTGTCAGAAAAAACATTACGAGGATATCTAAGTTGAAAATACAAACAAAAATATTATAGAATACATAAAAATTCAGGATTCAAAATGATGCTTTTAAATTGTACAGAATTAGTTAATTTTGATTTTTTTTCTATATTTCATCTATTTAAAATATAATTAGTTCATGCTTTCAACATAATTAAGTGCTAACATGACTAATTAACAATGCTGTCAAAAAAAATATGACTAACAAATATCAATACAAATTAATAAATCATCGATTTAATTCTTAAAATTGTAATGGTTAATTAAATTATTTTCTAATAAAATTACTGAAATGATAATTTTGTCCTTGAAATCGTATATAACCAACTAATTTACTCCATGAAATTGTAAGGAATGGTTAAATTGGTTCTTAAAATAAATAAAATGAAAAAAATGAAATCTAAAATGGTGAATTATCCATTCATTCAGTCCTTGAAATTAATAAAGGTTTAATGCTTTAGTGGGTCTCTGAACTTTTTACTTTGGTCTCTAATCTTCAAAAGTTTATAATTAGGTCTTTTATCTTCTAATTGTTTTTAGTTAAATTCTTTTAATTAATTTACGACAGTTTGAAACCTCCACAAAATTTTGTTATAGTTTTATTTATATTAAACTTAATTATAAAAATTGTAAAATATAAAGAATCTATTTTTTTAGTTTAAGACTTAATTAAAAATTAAAAAAAATCAGAAATTAACTGATACATTAAACCAAATTATAATGGCATGTCAAAGTGATCCTAAAACTAAAAATAATTGGTAACACTTTTTTTTTCCATATTTTAAAATTTTGCAAATTATGTTCTTAATTAGGTTCTTTTTTTTTTTTTTTATTCACTCAGCGGAATTGAGCATTTTGAAAATGGTAAGTGTTAGAAGCAAGAATTGAACTCTTAATTTCATTTTTTTTTTCTACTACTACCATCAGATCCACTAAATCATTCGCCTTTATATTATTATAAAATATAAATAATCTATTTTTCATAGTTTAGAGACATAATTAATAATTTTCTAAACTTTTAAGAATCAACTGATATATTAAACTAAATTATAATGACTTGTCAAAGTGGTCCTAAAAATTAAAAAAAAAAATTGATTATACTTTTTTTCAACTTTTAAAATTTTGTAAATTTTTTTTAAAGGTTTTTTTTTTACATTATTGCAATTAATAAGCATTTAGAAAATGATAATTATTACAGGGAAGGTTTGAACTCTTAATTTCATTCTTTATAATATGAGGATTCTAAAAAATAAATCTCGTTAAACTTATTCCTTAATAATTCACATTCTATATCAAATTTTAATAATTTAATTATTTAATTAAAAATTCTTAATACATTAATTAAATTTACAAATTTTAAAAAATTTAAAAATTATTTAATATTCTGTTTCATTAATTCAAATTAACATATAAAATTAATCACCAAATTTACTTATTTACTATTTACTATGTGATCTTATACATTCCTTATATATTCCCTCATATTATTTTAATCATCACCACTATATAAGCAAGTAATTACTTCACTATTAATATATCACATTAAAAATACAGAGAACCCATAAAAAAAAAATGTTTCTCCATTTTCATTGATAATACTAGTGTTCAAAAGTTTACATAGGAGTTGTGTGGATCACACAACACCAACTCTTGAAACGGTGCTCGCAATATTTTTCTCTTATTAATGTCGCTTGAGTTATCACTCTTGACAAGCTTTTTTGTATTTTTCTCGAAACAAATAATGGGCACCACTTTCTGGACTATAAAGAAAAGTCACAAATACATAGTTACATGCATACATATTAGAGTGAAATGATATGAATATAATTGTAGTGGATTTACACAGAGGTAGAACTTTCACGCAATGGTGCTTTGTTCCTTGTACTTGTACCCCATTCAATGGCTTCAGCAACAGCCCTTTGGCGTTCCGTGACATAGTGATCATCATCAAGAAGATTCAAAGGGGCACTATTGGCTTCTTGTGGTGGGGAGGGCATGTCAACAACGGGTTCAATTCTTGCAAGGTCTTGATTCCCTGGACTTGTCCCTAGGAAACTAAGGGCAGTGACAACATCACTGATCAAGGGCCTCACTGATGGCTCTTCATTAAGGCACATGGCTGCTACTGCTACTGCTTGGTGCAATGACTTTATTGGAAAATTTCCTTTAAGAAGGGGGTCTGCTAATTCTTGGTATTTGTTAGGGTCCTTGAATACAGGATATGCCTGATTGGTATAAAAAAAACTTAGTCCAAATGCAATTTTACATTGCTGCATTGAAGAAAAAGTAAACTACACAAGTAATTTTCTTGGTGATTAGAGTTTATGCCTAAAGGCACCTATAACATGCTCTAATAATTAACCATGCATCCTTAAGAACAAGTTCTTATCAATTCAAACAACAACACTTGAACATATTTATTTCCATTAAGGATGTGTTATTGAATTAAAAAATATATATATATTTACATGTCATTGTTTTATTTGTCAATATGATGACATTAATATCAAATATTGATGTAGCTAAGTATGTTTTTTTTTTATTGTAATAGTGGTAATGCATATGTTTCATATAATGGCATTTCAAGATAATTTTCTTTTTAAGAAATAATAATTTTCAGTGGATTAATTTGTTATCATATAAAAGAAATTAAATCAACATCTTGTAAAAATATAAAAGTTTTTACAATCCCACCATTTAAATCCCTACACAAACTTTAGAAATTGATTAAATTATGTAATCCTCCTTGAACTTTTTTCTTTCGAGTGAAATTTTTTTTTTATTTTTTATGTTGACTCTTAATCAAAAGTATCATTCATCAAATTCATTAAACACTTAAAAACGCTCATAGAATATGAATAGGGAAACTCACCCAAGAAACTAGAGTTTGCTCCCGTGTTGGTCTTGTGTTATCAATGGCTCTCCTTCCAGTGATCAATTCAAGCAAAACAACTCCAAAACTATATACATCTGATTTTACAGTTAGTTGACCAGTTCTTTGATACTCAGGGGCACAATATCCATAGGTACCCATTACTCTTGAAGAGACATGAGACATGTCCCCAGTAGGGCCCAACTTTGCTAGTCCAAAATCAGAAAGTTTTGCATTGAAATTTTTGTCCAACAAGATGTTAGAAGATTTTAAGTCACGGTAGATGACTGGAGGATTAGCCTTGTCATGCAAATATTCCAAGCCTTTTGCAGCATCCAAAGCTATTTTCATTCTTATAGACCATTCTAGAGGTTTTTGCTGTGGATGAAGATCTGCACCAAAGTTCAATAAAATGTTGATAATGAAGTGATATATTGATTTCTTAGTTAAAATTAAGGATGTTACTCACACACCAAATTTCACTAGTTTGGTCTCTCCTTTTTCAAAGGAGTTTGATTTATTTGTTAGGATATTTAGAATATCAAAAAACAACACTAGATTAATTTTAGTGTATCCATAGTTTTAAAAATCGGACCGGTCATCAAACAGGTTAAGGTACTGGGTCAGTGAGTCAAAGGTTGAACCGGTGGGTCACTAGTTGAACCGTATGACTCGATTTTTATTATTTTAAAAAAATATATTAATGTTAAATATATTTTATACTTATAAATTTTAATAAATTCATATCGTATTTTAAATTTCAATTTTTCTATCTTATTTAAAATTAATTTTATTGTTATTTTGTAAAAAAATACATAAAAAAATTACATGTTAATCTGTATATTAATACAAATTAAAAATATAAATGATATATACATATATAATATGTTTGTAATTGATATCACAAAATAATATATGTAATATCTACATAGATATTATATTATTAAATATATAATTTAAAATTAATAATATACTATAAAAGTTATTTAAGTTGTACATATTACAAACAAATATATTAAAACAAGTAGTCATTGATATATTTAATAAGACTATTTGCTCTTCCATTAAGAGATTCAATTTTCATTATTATTTTTGTGGTTTATGGTCCCTTAAAAAAATAAATAAATAAAAATGTGGTTGAACCGGTTTGACCCACCGATTCACCGGTTGAACTGGAAAATTGACCGGTTCAATCCGATTTAAAACGGATCGATTGCATAACCGATCCAACTTAAGATTTGGACCGGATAGACCACCGGTTCCCGGTCCGACCACCGGTTCGATCCGGTTTTTAAAATACTGAGTGTATCACATTGATGTATAATTATTAATTGTCCCTTTCACTTGTTTTATATTTTGTTTTACCAAAAGTCCATTTAATATATAGTAACATGATAAGGACATAGTTTTTTAATCTCATTATTCTACTTAAATTTTCTAATTTTTTTATATTTTATTTTACCAAAAGTACATTTAATATATAGTAACATGATAAGGACATAGTTTTTTAATCTCATTATTCCACTTAAATTTTCTAATTTTTTTTAATGTCAGTGAAAATAGTACGTATATATCAACATTAAAATTTTGAATACAAGAGATACAAGCAAGTAGAACTTACCAAGCAAATGATCTTCAAGAGATCCCAATGACATGTACTCATACACCAATAATCTTTGATCTCCATCTGCACAATATCCAATTAGACTCACTAGATTTTGATGGTGCAAAAGGCTCAACATTAAGACTTCAACAAGAAACTCTCTGTTTCCTTGTAATCCATTCCGGTCAAGTTGCTTCACAGCTACTTCCTATATATTTAAATGAGCAAATGTATAATATATATATATATATATATATATATATATATATATAACAATATCATTAGAAACACAAAGAACTTGAGATGAAAAATGAAGTGTTATTATCCTACCTGGTTGGTTTTTTCAAGTTTTCCTTTATAAACTCTCCCAAAACCACCTTCACCAATTAGGCATTCTTGTCTAAAGTTCTTCGTGATAGCAGCCAATTCCCTAAAAGTGAATGTTTGGGCAGCAATGTTTTGGCTACCATTATCTTTGTTTGCCTCCTTGTTTATTTTAGGTTCTGTTTGTGGGTTTGCCTTTGCCTTGTGAGTATGATTATCTATACAAAACAAAATGATTCATCAAGCATCTTAAGATATGAATTTTCATCATATAACTCATTCATTTGTTTTTCTTTCTAGAAATATATATTTCAAACATAGTACAATGAAAGATTATACTAATAAAGTTTTTATATATGATAAGAAGAAATGACAGAAACATAATCATAAAAAATTAGTTTAACCTTCAATCTAGAATACAATATATGGTGTATAAAATGAAAATGAAATTAATGGGAAGGTCAAGGATGCAAATATAGGATTGAAATCACTTGTTTTTGTCTCTTGTGCATTAGAATTAAAAATAATGTTTTTTAATTGGTGTGACAAAGAATGAGACAATGAATGATGACAAAAGGAAATTCAGTTTCTTAATCAAAATGTAGAGTTGGGACTGAAAACCTCGATGGTGAATATGCACATGATTTCTATATTGTTTACAAAGAATTGAATTTTCCTCATAATTCATACTCCTTATATCAAACTATATAAAAAGTTCATGTTGATCTTTTTTACAAATGAAATATATTTCATTTTCAAATAATTTTACCTGGCCGTGGCTGAGTTAGTTGGGCTGATTCCTTGGGAGAATGAGTACCATGTTGTATCCTTTTTCCATTCTTAGGTCTCTTTTCTACTTTCTTTTCATGGGATGAAAAACATGAAAAGCAACTCATTTCTCTACGATGATGATTAAAATGCTAAAACTGAAAATCTTAATATTTTTTCAGGAAAAAAAAGTTAGTCAAGAAATATTTAAATTTTAAAATCCTAGAACCCCCAAATTTCCAATCTATAAACAAAAGGTTCCTTATATATTTCTTTCCCCTGATCACAAAACAAAATATGATACAAATTCAGAATGATTTTAGAATTTGAAGAGGAAGTGATGGAGAGTTTAATATTTGTCTTAAGGATTAATGAAAACAAAAGAACAAAAACTCAAAGAAAAAAATGATCTTAGTTCTTTATCTCCAAACTTTTAAGGAATTCTGAAACAGATAGGAAAAACAAAATCTAGTGGGGATCCAAAACCAAAGAAAAATAGATAACAAGTTTCAAGGACAACCCAACTGAAGATGCAAACCCCATCAAAACCCAAATGCCATGCAGCGAATGGGGCCTGTCAAACCAAGAAACAAAGAGACACCACGGAGAAGTGTGTTAGGTCAAGTCAGTATGGGAACAAACTTGGTTAACAATATTTTTTTGGTGTTCCCGCACAAAATGCCAAGTAAAATGGAGATAAGTTTGAAACATTCTCTAAAACTGTAAGAGAGAGAGAGAAAGAAAAAAATAACAACATACAACCAATTCCAACGTGTGGAGCAGAGTTCATGATGCCGTTAAACATGAGAATTACAATCCATCATAGAATGAGAGAAGACAAATTGATGCAAATTCAGTCCATATTTTGAAAGAGTATATGATACGATAAATATTATATTTCCTTGCAAAGTTTAAAAACCTAGACCATAACAAGAAAATTATTTTGTGGGTATCTCATCATGATGGTAGACACATGCAAAAAGAGAAAATAAAATACAAGAGAGAAGTAAAAAATATGATAGATGATATGATGTTGTAAAAAGATTATAACAAAGGAGTTGACATCAAGTATAACATTGTTTTAAAAACCGGATCGGACCGGCCGGTCGAACTGGTTGAACCGGGAACTGGTGGTCCAGCCAGTCCGAATCTTGAGTTGGATCAATTATGCATTCGACCCGTTTCAAACCGGAGTGAACCGGTCAGTTTTTCAGTTCAACCTGTGAACCGGTTGGTCGAACCGGTGGGTCAAACTGGTTCAACAAAAAAAATTTAATAATTTTTATACAAAATAAAAATAAAGATAATTTTAAATAAGATGAAAATTGAAATTTAAGATAGGATATGAATTTATTGAAATTTATAAGTATAAAATATATTTAACATGAATATTTTTTTTAGAAAAATTAATAAAAATTGGGTCATGCGGTTCAATTAGTGACTCACCGGTTCAACCTCTGACCCACTGACCCAGTACCCTAACCGATTTGATGACCGGTCTGGTTTTTAAAACTATGGTTAGGAGCATTATTTTAAAAATTGGATCGGACCGGCCGATTGGACTGGTTAAATCGGGAACCGGTGGTCCAACCGGTCCGAATCTTGAGTTGGATCGGTTATGCATTCGACCCGTTTCAAACCGGAGTGAACTGGTCAAATTTTCGGTTCAACCAGTGAACCGATTGGTCGAACCAGTGGGTCAAACTGGTTCAACAAAAAAAAATAATTTTTTATATAAAATAAAAATAAAGATAATTTTAAATAAGATGAAAATTGAAATTTAAGATAGGATATGAATTTATTAAAATTTATAAGTATAACATATATTTAACATGAATATTTTTTTTAGAAAAATTAATGAAAATCGGGTCATGCGGTTTAATTAGTGACTCATCGGTTCAACCTCTGACCCACTGACCTAGTACCCTAACCGGTTTGATGGCCGGTCCAGTTTTTAAAACTATGAGTATAAGTCTAAAATTATCTTTTATTATAAGTCTTTTTTCTAATTATCAGTTGAATTAATTATATTTTTATAATACTTATTTAATTAATAATATTTTTAGACAAAAAATAATAAATGTTTAAAATTAATTGGACAACACCTCTCTTTTATTAGGATTGGGAAAGATAACTAGACACATAAATATTTATCTCATCTAATTTGACATTATTCTCTTTCCAAACATTAATTAATTAAGTTAGAAATGATTAAATAGAAAGAGATAAGGTTAATGTTTGAAAAGTAGTTTAAATTATTGACATGCTTTTAACTAAATCAATTTTCTTAAAGAGTATAATTTAGTTGAAAGGGTCTCAGAATTAAGGATGGAGGTAGTAAAGTATTGTATTTATTTTAGAGATTTTATTTCCTTCTTTAAGATTTGGATACAAGATCAATAAATAGAGATTTTTGAAATAAGAAAAATTATTTAAGTCTATATAAGGAGTTATCTCTTTCAATAAGTTAAAAAAATGTTATATGAAATATTATCTTGAATTGAAGTATGAGGATGAAATCACATTAAATATATTTAAGATAATGAATATTCAATGAATTATTATTGTGGACATATCAAATCATATTAAATAAATGTGTAATTCTTTTCAATCTTTTTATGATATTTTTTATATATTCTTTCATCATTGTGCGTAAAGAATAAGTATTTATGTTGACTACTACTCTACTAGATTTTGGACAGAAGGCCCAACTTCTTTACAACTATCATCCAAAACCATGTACAAGCAACATTTTAAATATTTGTCAACTCCTTCCATATATGATACCCACTCCCACAAAACGTTGACTTACACACAACATAAAATTTTCCTATAGACACATATTTGAGAAATCCATAACTCCACCCCACCCTATACTTTGCAAATGTTTTCATTTTGAAGTAATATGCAACTTCACAAAAGTCAGCAGCATAATTGAAAGCCCATCTCATTCAATGAATTTACTTTGGTTAGCATGAATAGAATAGCCCACTTACCATCACATTAAGAAATCTGCCACCAAACATCTGAAATTGTAGTCACCCTTGTACAACTGATCGAAGAACACTCTAATCTACAAAACACTTGTGCTTCAAACCATCTTCATCCTCATACACGATCTTCAACATATTTTCTTTTTAGTTTTAAAAGCAATACTTGAATATTGCTTTGAATTGATTTGTGGTGAAATAATTTATTTAGTTGTTAACTTGAGGTTTATAGAATTGAATGGTCGAAGTGTATGCCAATATATATCTGCCCGAGTAATGTAAGGAATTTGTATATTAAACATAAGCCATGTATAAAACTTTTAGTGTTTATTTAGTTTGGTTGCTGCAATTAATTTGTTTGTTTTTGTCATGAATATTGATTTCCAAATCATTTTGGAATTGTAAAGTTTTTTTTATTTAGTAATCAATTAGTTATAATTGATGAGAAGATTCAAATACGCTTCTTCTTTATCACTCTAACCCTATAACTCTCCTCCCACACTACCTACACCCCCTTGTTAATTGTTGAGAAATATTTAATGTTTGAACGGTTAATAAAGAAGGGTTCTAAGAAAGTTTTCTTCTTAATGCATAAGTGATTTTGGTTGTATGAATTGTCTTACAATTTTCTTTTTTACTCTTTTGGGGAATGGATTATAATTAAGTCTAAGAACTTATATTAGTATACGAATTTGATTGCTTATTAGAACATTGCCTTTTATAAAGGTGTGATTGGCAAAAGGTGACTAATAATAACATATTCTTTGGTAAGTACATATATTTATATAAGTGGTTACTAGTAGGGATGGCAACGGGGTGAGTCGGGTACGAGTTTCATGATACTCGTCCCCGTCCCCGCGCGTTCCCGTTCCCGCGAGTTAAACTCATCCCCGTCCCTGTATTTGTACTCGTCAGGTATGTAATTTTCATCCTCATCCCCGTCCTCGTCGGGTATCGGATATACCTGTACCCGTACCCGTACCAGTCAATTTTTTTTATTTTTTATTTTTTTGTAAAACATATATAATATTTTCAAAATTATTTTTTTATTATATTATAATTATAATTAGGTTATTTCTCTATCTCATATTATAATAAGTAATCATACATAAAAAAATATTAAAATTCTTTAATATAATTAAATTGAAAATGGGTATTAAATTAAAAATGGGAACTGGGACGGGTACGGGGCGGGTAAGTACAAACCCGTACTCGTACCCGTACCCGATTTAATATATCAGGTTTTACCCGTACTCATACCCGGTCAAACCGGATATTCCCCGTCAAAGTCGAGATGGGTTCGGGTATTACTCACGCATCCCTAACTACTAGTTATTAAATAGACATAAAATTTAATATATAACAACCACATAAAATTATGGTTATATTTTAGAATTATTCTCTTTATTTTTTTATATATTTGACCGAGTATTATCGGTGTCTTTATTAATAAAGGTTATTTTTGGTTGAAAAAAAAAAAAAAAAAAAAAAAAAAAAAAAAAACCTACACTCCCTTATAACTCCAATTGTTCAGATTTGTTTTTTAAATTATGAAATTTTGTGACAATCTAAGCTAAACTACCCGTATACCCTTGATTATTAGCAGTTTTAGATTAGAACCATTAATAAAAGGCCTTTTAATTTGTTTTTTTAGAAAAATTAAAATAGGTAAACTGCAATAGTGATTACTACTTAGAATGGCTAATAAAGTTCCACTATTATATATAGTGCTCTGAAGCTATTACAGTAAGTTCTCAATCAACATTAACACACACATTTCAAAGGTTAAAATTGTTACTAGGAGTTTAAAAAACTGCAAATAAAAATCTACTTTTGCAACAGTGGAACAAGATAATGATTAGTATAAACACAACTAAAAATCTTGGATTATTGGGCAATAATTAATGGGACCCAAGTTTGAATATGATTAGCTAACTTTCAATGTCGATTTAGCACGGGTTGCAAACTGAAAATTCAATGCATCTCGAAAATTAACATAAATGTGGAAGACAAAATTGGTTAAAGTAAGAAATTGAAGGGTTGAAAACATGGTGGTTAGCTTCCACATGGGTCCCAATGACCTTGTCAAATCGCTGCTAGACCATTGACAACTGCTTCAGATTTTGCTTATCTAGCTTTTGCAATAATTATGCCTCAAAAAATGCAATAAACCCCACGGCAGGGATTATGTATTAGAAAACGACACAAGTCAAAAGATACAGCTTTACAAAAAGGCAATTTTGAAAGCAAACCACCCCAGCTTTTTTATCCCCCTTTAAGTTAGGAAAGACATCAACTACTGTATGGTAATAATGTTAATATAATTACATATATTTTTCTTTTCTTATTGCATTACATTTTTCTCCTCTTTTTATCTCCTACAAGAGTATATATCTATCATTTTTCACAATAATATAAAGATAAAGTATGTGTTTGTAAAATTATCATTCATTTTAATCTTTATATTATCAAGAACCATGTAATTTAATCTTTTATTTAAGACTAAAATATATGTGTTTATAATCTTTTGGAGGAGAAGAATATATTTTACTCATAATACAATTAATAGGTTTGCCATGCCACATGTGCTTATATACAATTCATTGACTTGCAAGAACTACTACAGATCATGATATGACCCCAACATATTAGTCAATCAGCGGTCTAGTTGCAATTAAAA